CAAATATGAAAAATAACAAATTAATCAAGACAGTTTATGGGTTAATGATAACAATAAAGTAGATTGCATAAATAGACATAATAATTAGACAGTACAAATTAATAGTAAGATGACGGGTATATTACTCCTGCTACAACAACAACAACTACTACCACCATTAGTGGCAAGAATAACGGTTTAAAGCAATATTTCAACATAGGAAGTAGGTCAAATATCAAAATAACAATTACTAAAGTTACGTATTAAAAGCAGTCAGTATAAACCTATAGATATATGAATATGTATTAGACGAAAGCATAAGGAAAATCCCACGGAAAATAATTTAGTTCACTTGTATGTGTTGTCCTTATAATATTTCAATATTTCTCATGTACATTTATCTAGTTAATGAGATAGTAAATGCGCTAAATTCCACTATCTTCTTTGGTATATAGACCTTAAGTTTCTTTGTTATTGTTGAATGATTTAGGTTAAGTGTCTGAATTAAGAGATTTTCATTACTTTTCTGATCAGTGTCATTAACACCTCGATTGTCGTTCTAGATATCATCGGCTTTTCATCTATAAAAGCCCCCAAATTCCCTGGTACGACTGGGAGTGAAGAGAGTCAGCTCTCCCTTCCGAATTGCTTTCACATGGCCACGTGGATACAACCACTGCCAGGGATATCCTACTCACTGCCTTCTCGCGGCGAGGATGTTGTTTACGAAATTGAAAGGACAAAAAGCGAATGTCTGGCGCTCTAACCGAGTTGATGGATATGGAGGATCCATCTCGGGGAGTTGGAAAACCCTAATTCCAAACCAATGGTGCTCATGGGCGCCTGGATCCTGAGGGAGAAAATGGCGTTTGTCACCGGTCATCATGAGACTGCACCTTTTTACATTGCTCCACCGCCTTGTTGATTAGACATTTATGCCAGAGCCTCGGGGTGTGGCCCCCTAAGAAAACTATTTGCTCCAGTCTGGGCACCCGGACATTATTCCATCCCTCACACAAATCGAATGATGGAGTGTAGCGCATATATATTTGGTACCTCCTTGTACCGATGCTTATGTGTTTAAATAAATAAACATCAGCTGATACTTTGTTTAGAACTGAGCTTTTCAGTTTATGTTGATGACTTGGTTGGTTTCGTTATTTTTATTCATCCTTGCATTTTTGTTGACCTTTGATCATGAGATTGGTTAACCTTTAGCGTATCGATTGATAGATTAAATCTATTTCACTATGTTTACTGATCATCGATTAATCTTAAATACCATACTTCTAGAAATTCTTTAACGTTCTTAAAATTTCTTTGGTCCAAAATCTCTGTTTGATTAGTCATTTTCATTTTATACAAATTAAACACTGACAAATTTGTGCGTATATTTTCACTGTTTTGTGTTTTTCAATAAATTGTTTTATAATTGTCTTAAAGCATTTTCAATCTTTGTGTAATGTATAATGAGACCATCAAAACGAATATATATAAACACAAACATTGGTACAAGGAGGCACCAAATATATATGCGCTACACTCCATCATTCGATTTGTGTGAGAGCTGGAATACTGCCCGGGCGTTTAGTATATGGTTTTGGGGATCGTTGAGTTTTAATTGAGATAATAAACCGATCAATGCTAGATCACCACTGAAAATATTGTACGACCGTTTCGTCCTAGTATGGAACTCCTCAGCAGTGCGCATCCATGATTCAGCACAATATTAATAAAATATACCAGGCAATTAGTAATTTGCTAGATGCTGACATTACAAATTCTAGTGTTTATGAAGATAACTACAAGTGCTCTACAGAATATTTAAAAGACGTGGTAGTGGGGGGGGCTGAATAAGGGGATAAATACTTAGATATATTAATCAATAGATGAACAAATTGGAATTGTTGTTTAATGATCAATAAGATAGTTTGACAAGAAGTTCAATACATTCGTAAACAAATCAAAGTTAAAAGGATTCTCCATGATGTGAACAAATCAGAATAGATAATCCTTTTTTTTAATAGTTTAGATTTTATAATCCTTTTTTTTTGTTTTGTTAACTGATTCCCATTTGATATTAACTGTATGCTTGTTTTAACGAAACATAGTCAATTCTTTTAAAGAGATTTAATCATATATGAATCATTCAACAAATCTTAACTTATATTGTCAGTTAAGTAACTCAGATTTGATTTCATTCTTTGTTTTAAAACTTTTCTTACTGTTAATTATTGCAGTTTTTAGTGTATTGCCCTTTAGTATCAGAGTTAAAATTAATTTATCATTAATCAAAACATTTCAACTTAGTATTTATGTATTATTTATCTATCCTCGAAATTTAAAAGAAAAACACACTCTGAATATCAAGTCTGTTTGATAGTACTGAGACTAAAATAGATGAAGAAATATTTGTACTTATAACAAAATGTTTGAAATGTAGATATATTTCCTAACTCAATAGTAGATAAATACAAGTCATTATGATATTTATAAATATTCCAATGAAAGTCTAAATCTCAAACAAAATAAGTGGTATATATGTATTCAATGACTACTTACGACATACATTATCCTGAGACACATAAATTTTACCACTTGTTATTTATTTATTTATTTTAACACATAGATATTGGTACAAGGAGGCACCAACTACATATGCGCCACACAAATCTCATTTGATATGTGTGAGGGCTGTGATACTGCCCGGGTGCCCAAACCGAACCAGGTGGTTTTCTTAGGGAGTCACTCCCCGAACCTTCGACCTGAAGGTCTGATCCACAAGGCAGTGGAGCATCTTAAGGAGATGCAGTCCCATGGTAGCCGGTGACCAACAATTGGTTCATACGTCATTTGTTTCTTTTAGGATACTGGAGCCCATGTACACCATTGGTTTGGAATCCAGCTAAAGCGCCGGACATTCGCTTTTCGTCCTCCCATTTTCGTAAACAACACCCTCTCCACGAGAAGGCAGTGAGTAGGACTTCCCTGGCAGAGGCTATATACGCGTGGCCATGTGAGAGCATTCCGAGAGGGAGAGCGAACTCTCTCCACTCTCGGCTGTACCAGGGCATTTTGGGGCTTCATACTAAATATCTGAATGATAATTTTTCACTATACATAATGTCTATGATACAATAGTTTTCTTTTTTCTTTTTCTTTTACTCCCATCATCTTATGATTATTGATATAAACTGCTTTTCACTATAACTTATTCAATATATTATTAAAAGAATGATTAAACAAATAAAAGAACACCGATTTGTATACAAGCTGTTTCTTTTCAGTTTTTTTTTGTCAAAAATAAAAAGTTTTTTAATCTGATTTTTTTGGCTTTGTTAGTAGTTTACTACTCTCTGGATGAATTGCGAAAACATGTATATTTGATCATGTGTGTAAATACCTAGAAAAACATGATATGTGTTTCAACATGTCTGTTTATATTCTGAGAATAGACTTATTACATAGATTTGTTATCTATTTAGTGCATTTTTTTGTTCCTGTTGTTGTTGCTTCAATCTACCGTTTTTTTTGTGTACTAAATAAAAAAGCACAAACTACATGACTCATCAGTTTCTATCAACCGATAAAACTGTGGACATTCTGTAATGTTTATATGTGTTCTCTACTTACTTGTTTTTTTTATTATAAAAGATTAATTTTAATAAATTATAACATTGATTCATAAACTCGAAGATATTTTATTTATATAATAGCTGAAGTGCAGTGATAATAATAATAATATTGACGACGATGGTGACTGTTCACTTTTACCGAATGCACATTACTGTCTTTCTCATTCTTTCTTTACGCGTTTAGTTTTTTTTTATTTCTTTCTTTCAGTAAAGCAATTGTGTCAATGTGATTACTGTTTCAGTAGTTTCAATAATAAATTATTACCTATTATATATATACATATATCCTTCTTGGTTTGTAAACACACTGTTTCATTGCTATGACTGTCTATATGGGGCAAAGGGAAATGTTTCATTTAAAAATTGTTTATTACTGTTTTGTAAATATTTACGTGTTTTTTTTTTTTATATCGATGTTTATTAAACAGTACATAAAGGTTTCACGTTTATTTAGATTACTGGGTATGAATATCGCTAACTACTTTTCTGAAGCTATTATTTTGTCGAATGAGTACATGATAACTACAAAGTTATAATAATTGTGCACTTCATATTTGTGGAGTTGCCAACTTTTTAACACAATGTATATGATTTAATCGTATAAATTTAAGTCATAGGATAATTTATTCGTAAGGTATGTACGTCCAAAACAGATTCCCATGATACTATCTTTGAGTATCATGTTTTAGTGGCTAGCCAGAACGTATATCCCATCGTATTTCAAACTGATTATTCACTGAGATAACTAATAGCTTATCCAACGGGCATGAATTTTTGTTTGTAGAGGTAGGTAGCTCAATGGATAATGCGTTGAAGTGAAAGTTAATGGGTTCGAATCCAAATGTTAAGCATTAGTAGTGGAATGCAGGTGCATCCACTTGATAAGTCCCAAATAGGTTGGAACGCGCCCCCAGTGCTTCACTGCCTGCGTTGGATCCATTGTTTAAATACTAATCTGACTATTTCGTTTCGAGCAGTGTCTTTTTCTCTCACGAATGCAGCTCCAAGCCTATTGTATATTATATATATATATTTTTCCTCCTTTCACTTGAGAAATACACTGAGTGGAGTGGCGATTCAATGGTTACTATGTTAGATTTCCAGTTTCTAAGTTGCAAGTTCAAACTTCACTCTGTCTACTTTTATTAGATCAGCTAGGGAATATTATTAACCGTCACATGCCGAATGTGACTCAAAGCCAAGTACATTAATCCGTAACATCTGGTAAATGAGTTGAATAACATAATACATCTTTGGTTGATTATCTCATGAGTTCCTAGATTTTCGTATTTTCCATTATGTTATGAACTTAATTACTACTTAGTAATGAATAATTTTGTATATAAAGATTTCTTCCTGATTTAATGGGTTTTTCTCTCTCCATAGTCCATCACCACCATCTGTTCTCATAGATTCGTTCAAAACACCTGTTACAACAACTTCTGGTACATCAGTTGATAAGAGAAATTCACAAGTTTCCAATATATTTCAATCATCATCGTCATCATCTGGTCATTCAATCCATGGAATTTCATACGAATCACCATCAGACAATAAGTCTGCTCATAGTTTTGATAGAACAAGAAATTCACTTATAACATCAGTTTCATCTTCTTTTCCGCCTCCTTTACCACCAAAAAAGTCACAACTACATAAGTTATTTTGTAAATTAGACGATCCATATGAAGTACCAAAACATGCCACAACAGTATTAGTGGCTAACACCAACACCATTACTGCTGCAGAACCAGCAACCAGTTTAACATCATCATTATCAGCGTCATCAACAACCACACCTATCCGTTCGAAATCATCAATTACATCCACTAACGGATTGTTATACAGAAAGAAACAATTCAATCGATTGTCATTATCACCTCAATTAGGTATGTCTTATCGTATTTATGTGTATGTATGTATGTACGTGTGTGCGTGTGTTTATGCATCACTAAAAGGTGTTGTCTTTTACTATTTGTTATTCTTCCTCTTATTAACTCTTTTCCCAGTCCGGGTATTCACGTACTTGACTTTTAGTCAAAATGCTGGTTTGCGAACCAACAATACTATCAGGTTGACCAAAGTGTTGTAGTTGGAGTGTAATTTGAATCTGCGGTTTAGTTGGTGAATTTCGTACAATTTAACCACTGAGCCACTGTTCCACTTTGATATTCATTACTTATTTTAAGTATATTTTTTACTTGTGGTTTCTATTAAATTCCCAAGATTTATAACTCTGTAGTTAGTCTGCTTGGAAGACCTCATATTATCAAATCCTTTTAATAGCCTCTTATATGTATAAATAATATTTTTTCAATTCATATTTCTGCATTGACCTTTGTCTTGTTATTTGATTGTTTGTTCTCATTTTTAGTTTTGCTTATTTTCCTGTATCCCTCCTAGGTCATTGTTTGTTATCATGTATTTATTATGGTGCAATTTCAATTTTGATCTCTTCAATATCAAGCTTCTTCTGAACTATTTACTACTCTCTGTGTCTTCGATCACTTTACGTATTTTATCGCTGAAATGTTATGTACAAGTGATCGTGTAGATTGAATTTGTTATTAGAAGTATATCTCAATCGACTGTAATTAGGAGTTAGTATAGGCTATACTGAAAAATTACAACAATTTACATATTTCAATCATTATTTTGATTCTTGTTCACATTGACGGTACAGTAGAACAAATTTGTTTTCGTTAGATTTCAAGCTTGTGTTCCTTTCCATCTATTCAATAACATTAGTTGCGTATATATATATATATATATATATATATATATATATATATATATATATATATATATATATATATATATATATATATATATAATCTTAATTTAACAAAAGCAGTGAAGTAAATTTATACTGTTGATTGTTATATGGAAGATAATCATATGATTAAGAGATTGATGTTGTCAGTTGTTTTTGGAGTTTTACAAATTCCGTTATTCCAATCATGTAGTCTTTTCGAAAAATGGTATCATCTTTTATTAAAACTGTTGACATTTATTGACAATTGTTTTTAAGAAGAATTCTGTAGTTTATTTGTTTCGTAGTGACTATTGACCTTGTTTCATATGTAAGTTAACTTACTATTCCATTTTCAGTATAAATTTTAAAAGATTGATGTCTTCGTTTTTAATAACTGGACCTGATTGATTTCCATAACTTATAGTCTTGCCACTCGTGCTATGTTTTTGTTAACACAAAACCTTTTAAAATGAGAATATGCTTATTATTTGTTTTATTATCGATTATTATAACTCTCTCTTTTTTTTAAATTGAACTTTCCACCCTAGAAATTATTCAAGATAAAAAAACTAACTCAACTGTTCCACATGATTGGCTTGACAATAATACTGCAGTTAGTGAAGTGACGACAACGCTAGTCGATTCAGTTGGATTATCGGACACAATTCATACTATCAAACAGGATAGGACATTAGTGTAAGCGTTTATACACATATATTTAATATTTTGGGTAAATAACACAGATTCTGACTTTATAGAATATACTGGTATCATTATTGAAAGAAGTTTATCGTATTAGTTTGGAGAGTTTGTGTAAATTGTTGGTTTTTAGAGTGTATATCACAGAATAACCTTAGTTAGACAAACATTGAAAACCAAGAAGTACTAGATTGTTTTCGTAATTTACGTTCATAACTACAATGGGGATCATATGACCCAGAATTTTTAGGTCCCGCTGCTTGCGTCTTAACCTTTAAATTACTGACTCGTCATCTGATGGTTTACATTTCTAGCTTCAATTGATTCACAATGTTGCACAATCGTTTGGATAGTCCTATATTGAAATGAAAAAGCTTTTCAATGCTTCCTGATTTTCACTAATAGTTTATGGTCAGTCAGTGATATAAACTATAAAATGTTAACTATTCTTGGAAAAATTCGAGTAACTAATTAGCATAGATCATTGTGTTTGTCCTGGTGTGGTGTGTGCTACTTATATTGACATAAATAGTATATGATGTTAGTCGTGAACAGAAGGTCTGACAGCAGAGAAACAAGAGGATCGAACAGTAAAGAATGGAAACAGGATGCGATTCGTATGAAAATACAAGAACAATGAAGTCTGAGTGATTTTGAAACAATTAGTGGACATTTTTCAGACTAAGCATTTACTTAATGATTGTTAGATTTTATTAAGAAGTCCTGTAATTTTGTGTTAAATACATTCGATTGTCCCCACCGGTGTTCTTGTTCACTACACTGGGACCTTAATGGACGTTAATCGTGTGACAGATTGTTTGAAATGGATTTATTAGCTTAACTGGTAAACATATTTAATTGTTTTATTTGCTTTACTCAGTTTAAATATATGAACCCTAATTTCACAATCTTAATGGTGCATTAGTTCATTTCAATCTTAGTTTTTTGTTTCGAATCTTCTATGTCTATGTGTGTATGTGTGTGTGTGATAGAAAGATGGAGCGAGATTAAGAAAGAATGCGACAATTGTCAGTGTAATATCCATATACACCTGTAAGTAATGTGAACAATAAACAAACGTATTCAATCTTTTATTATACCTTCGCATAATTTTTATTATCTTCGAATATATATTCACATTTAAGCTATCGTTAGTGCTTTATTAGGGTTTATGACGAATATATTACTTGTAAATATATATATTGATTGACATTTTTCAAGTTATTTAGTGTCCAATTATCAATGATAAATGGTTTTTCTTGGTTATAGTACTTCCATTTTGTATGTATACTGTCCATTATTGGCGTCATTTGAAAATCTAAGCAAATTATGTGCTAATTATATTGTTTAATACATACATACTGTTTAGTCATTACTACTAATAGGAATGGTAGTAATATAAATGCCTACATTAATGATAATAATAGTAATAATTATTATTATTATGCAGTGATTATTGAAAATTTTATTATTATATATAGTTTCATTTGTCAGTTAATTCATGTGTTACGTTTAAATGTTTATTTCTCGCTCTTTACACGCTTTTATTATCCCTCCTCTTACTTTATATGTATGTGAGTGCGCCTGTTGATAGTTGTGTTCACTTCGTTCGTGGTTCGTATACCCTGTTCATGAAAAAATCGCATTAAATTTTAACAGATCCTTTCTCTGTGTTTCCTTGTTTTTCTGATTGGAATATTTTCTACTTTACATTAAACCAGATGTATCTCTGATGTATTCACAGTATTTCTATTTCTTTTATTAAATACGCATAAGATATCCCATGTCTGGACACCAATAATATTAAATCAGGGCTTTCCAACTCCGCCAATTGATCCCTCTGTATCTGCGAGTCTGGTTTAAGGATCAAAAATTAAATTTTCACTCTTAATAGTAAACTGAATTTTTAGACTTCTTAATGATGGAAGTGATTATTTTGTACATTAAATACAAATGATCAAGATTCAAGTCTTAATAATGATATCTACAAATAGTTGTATTCCTACAAAAAGACTTAGTCTCGAATCACTCTCTCTTATATCAAATATCTGATGAATAGGAATGTAGTTATCGATAATAGGATTTGATAGTATTTCTAATAAGCAATTAGACTTTGAAGCTCTGATAAGTTTAGAGAAGTTTGATTGTGATTTAGAGGATGGCCATACCACAATGTGGCATCGTCCACAAAGTTATTGACTGTGTCATGCAAGTAGGTACATTTTCTTTAGCTGGGATCCACGCTATTACCGCAATCAATATTTGTAGACAATAATTGACATAACACTGAATCAATCATAGAGGCGTATATTCATTCACTCTTTGTCTCCCATTAGATCACTTTTATTCTACAAGTCCATTTTTCTCGAACCATCATTACTGTCCATGGTTGATGTTCTTTACTACTACTAACCCTGTTACTACTTCTATAGTGAATCAACACTTAGGTGGGGTTAACCAATTATTATTTAGTACAAAATTACTGTATCTTCGTAAATTATGAAAACCTTACATTAAGTACTTTATTCGCACATCTTCCATCAGTTGTCCTTTACATCGTTCATGATTCAACCAATTCTCAATTCCTTTATGTTTCCCTTTCTGTTTTTTTAGTTCAATCTTCTCAACTTTCTTTTGACAGACATTCCACTTCTGATTAGTGTTACATACTACTTATATCTGTCGATATAAATAGAATACACCACACCTCTACTATAACATTTGTTTCATTCCATTATGGTGATATCATTTGGCAACTTGAACCTACACACGTATTTGTGACAAGTTTAACGTTGCCTATGACTGACTGAAGTTAGTATTACGATATAACTATTGATTAGTAATAATTTTGTTCTTTTACTTCATAGGTGATAATTTTAGGGTTATAACTCCTTTAGTCTTTAATCTTTCTAGAAAATAGAACACTTTTAATATCTACCCTACATTAAATGGTAACAGTCAGTATTCTGTTTTATTGTTTTTGTATTAACTAATGTTTACTAAGTTAGTTGTTCGTAACACGAAAGATTTTTCATATCTCTAGGTGATATTCGTCTACGTATTCCATAGTTTACTTATTAGTTTTATCTATTCTGCGTTAAACTAATCTAGTTCTTTAATTGAAAAAAACTTTCAAAACATTTTGAAATGATGGAAAAAGTTTACAGCTCAATTGAATTCTTTTAGTTTTATTCATCTCTCTAAGCTAGAGATTGCTTACTTACTTACGCCTGCTACTCTTAATGGAGCATAGGCCGCTGACCAGCATTCTCCAACCCACTCTGTCCTGGGCCTTCTTTTCTAATTCCATCCAATTCTTGTTAATTTTTCTCATGTCTATCTCCATTTCCCGGCGTAATGTGTTCTTTGGTCTTCCTCTTTTCCTTTGGCCTTGAGGATTCCATGTGAGGGCTTGTCTTGTGACGCAGTTGGGTGCTTTCCTCAATATGTGTCCTATCCACTTCCAGCACTTCTTCCTGATTTCTTCCTCTGCTGGTATCTAGTTTGTTCTTTCCCACAGTTGGTTGTTGCTAATAGTGTCTGGCCAACGGATCCGAAGTATTTTGCGTAGACAACTGTTAATAAACACCTGTATTTTCTGGATGATGGCTTTCGTAGTTCTCCAGGTTTCCGCCCCATACAGTAGAACTGTTTTGTCATTTGTATTGAAAATTCTGACCTTGGTGTTGGTTGACAGTTGCTTTGAGTTCCAGATGTTCTTCAGTTGTAAATATGCTGTTCTTGCTTTACCAATCCGCGCTTTCACATCTGCATCAGACCCACTATGTTCACATTTTCAAAATTGTCTCCGTCAATTAGGATTGGATTGATGCATGCTGTGTTGTATCGGAGTTTATTTTTAGTTAAACACATAAACATTAGTACAAGGAGGCACCAAGTAGATATGTGTCACACAAATCATTCGATTTGTGTCAGGGCTGAGATACTGCCCGGGTGCCCAAACCGAAGCAGGGTTGTATCGGAGAATCTTCCTTTTCCCTTTGTGTATATTGAGACCTACTGTTGCTGAGGCTGCTGCTACACTGGTCGTCTTCTCCTTTATTTGTTGTTGCGTCTAGGTTTTATCTCCTCGTTTCTGCAGTAATTTGGAAGACTCTCCCGGTCTCTCACATTGTACGAGTATTCCATGTACCTAAATAAATGGTTGCTCTGGTTGTCAGAAGGGGCATCGGCCTCATGACTTCCGAAGGAACTCGGCTTTCATAATGAGGCGTCATAGTTCTTCTAAATGAAGAGGTTCTGACTCCCAGGGCAGAGTTTAAAAGATTTGAATATTTTTTTCTTGTTAGCGTTTTTTAGCGAGTTAGTTTTCTACGGGATGGGGTCGCTAACCTCATACTAACCTTCCTCCTTTATCCGGGCTTGGGACCGGCAGTAGCCCCCAGAGGGACTCTAGGCGGAGTTAAGCTAGAGATGGTTTAATTGGAAAGCTTTTATGCAACACCATCAGTGCTTACTGTATGAAAAAGTGAGCTTTTTTAATTTTTCCACCAGTCATATATCAGTTTGTCTTGTTGTCCTTAATTGTAAGTGATTATTCTTTTGTTTTACTGTTATCCAGTGTATTTATTTATATTCAAAATTGATTGTTTTCGTCTTGTTGGCATTTACTAGTGTTGCTGCCTAAATATTTTCACTTACACTCTGTACTCAACATTCTGTTGTCTTATTTACATATAAGAACTACTTTTTAAAAAATCTTACACTATATATTGATTCACTTGTTATTTCTACTAAGTTATATTATTTTGATTTATTATGTATCACTTTAATTATGGTTTTGTGTATATTGTGTGTACAATGTAGTCAAGTATCTCCTCAAAAGGTATAAACATTACCAATATCAATTTCCTTTTCCAAAATTTAAACCATTTGTTTCAATTTGGTTTAGTTGCATTCAATAGTTGGTACGAATGTTGATATACATGGATGCTAATTTATTTTTATTCTTCTTCCATTATGTTTGTTATTGTTTA